CACACACACACACACACACACACACACACACACACGTGCGGAAGAAGGAAGAAAACAGGAAGGGAAGGAAGGAAAGAAGGAATAAGAGAATTGAATTGTCTTTTCTATCTAAAATTATTAGTTGAAGATTTCACACTGAGAACAACTGGTATCCCCCAGTGTGTTTAAGAGACAGATACTCTTAAGGGTTTTATATAATTTGCTTAAATACGCCATTTGTCATCCATAGCAAAGAAGGATGGAGACTGGTAGTTTTGACAGGGAATTATAGAAGTAGTCATGGAATGGGTACCTCTACCTTACTTCCTGCCGCAACTCACTTCCCCTCCTGCCTAAAAGAAGAAAAAGGGTACAAGAAAATCCTAGAATTAGGAAGTGACTTTGTAAACTCTTCTGCTTAGTGAACAGCAAACATTTTCTGGTCTTCTTCCTTGACCTAAGCATGACAGCATGCTTGAGGGAGTCTGGCATGTCCTAGGGAGGAAGGCAAACTGGTGCCCTAGAGAAGTCTTGGGGAGCAAGGCTAGTATGATATCCATGTGGTAGGGGGCAGGGAAGAAATGGGAGCAACTGCACTTGAGTGATGTTGGAGGGGTAAGGATGAGTGATGGTAGAAGGCTGGGCAGGTGCTGCTGTAGCGACCACAGAGTTAAGCTCTCTCTGGCTCCATCTAAGCAGTCTAGATAGATGATGACGGTGATGATGGTGATGATGATGTCGCTGATGCTCAGGTCACTGACTTCTCTCACCATCTAAAAAGCTTGGATAAGGGGACTCTATGCACACTACCCAAAGGTAAGTGATCCTCAGCAAGTCAGCCATGGAAATGAGTTCCACCAGCAGCAACTGTTATACTAACAGGCTTGCTCCTGAACAATCCACAGAGGTGTTCATGAAGGAGCCCTAAGCCAGTTAAAACCTCCTCCTTTCCCTGCACAAGGCTCCACAGACAGGGAAGTTATGCCCGGGGACAAGGTGATGTGGGAAGGTCATATTTCTATCTGTTGCTTTCATTGGTCAATTAAAGAAAACTGCTTGGCCCTGATAGGTAGAAAATTAGGTAGGCGGAGTAAACAGAACAGAATGCTGGGAGGAAGAGGAAGTGAGCTCAGAGACGCCATGTTCCCCTCTCCCGGGCAGACGCAATAGCTCTGCTCTCTGAGGTAGACGCATAAGATGAAGCAAGCCGCCAGATCAGACATGCTGAATCTTTCCCGGTAAGACTGAAGCTACACAGTTCATTAGAGATGGGTTGATCGGGGTATCAGAATTAGCCAGTAAGGGCTAGAGCTAATGGGCCAAGAAGTGTTTAAAAGAACACAGTGTCCTTGTAATTATTTCGGGGCATAAGCTAGCAGGCGGCCGGGGTGCTGGGGACGCAGCCCTGCCACTCCTATCACTACAACAAGGTATATTCTAGTTCATGGAACTAGCGGTGCAAGCCTCTGACCAAATGACCAGAAATCAGTCAGATCACTGGGAAACCGGAATGAGCAGAGACCGCTTCTGCAGAGTGATTTTGGAGGGCATCGGTAAAGAAGAAACAGGATATATTCTGACTGTGTGCTGCTTAGTGCTTTGGCTACTAAACATGGCATCTCATCCTCCAGGCCCACGGGGTCCCACAGGAAGGGATGATGCTAGCCTCAGTCTGAAAGAAGTAGAAGGAAGATGTGTGAGACTTACGACTGAGATGTGGAAGGTCAGGGATTGAGGCCAGGATCATACGGCCCTCATTGCAGGGCCATCTCGACTGCACCAGAAGCCACAGGATGAGATATAAGCTAGTCTTTTGTTTTCACCGTGCACAGGGACACTCAGGGAACACTTCCTCTGCCCTACTTGGCACTGGCCTCTTAACAACAAGCTTACAACCGTGGCCCGTCATCATCACAATCTTCAGGGGACACCCAAAAGGCTTTTTGTGCTTCCTTTGCAAAAAATAAAAATAAAAACCAGAGTCATAGCCTTGATTTTTATGAGTATAACTGAAGATGAGAGGACACTTGAACCTTTTTCAGAACATACACAAAGGAGTGATTTAGCAGGGAAAAGCAAAGCCAAGGACTTGCGCAGCCGGCCCTTACCTCAGCATGGCGCCGAATCCCTTCCTCTTCATTTTCCTCTCTGGGTCTTCACTCTCCTCTTTCTGCTTTTTTTCCTTGACTTTCAGCTTGCCCTTTCCCTTTTTCTTCTCCTTCTCCTTTG